AAATCCACGTGGACAGAGCACAAATCTCCCGATGGAAGAACTTATTACTACAACACCGAGACGAAGCAGTCGACGTGGGAGAAGCCAGATGATCTCAAAACACCTGCTGAGGTGACTTCAGATCAGATTATGGGATTACAATGACTGTCCTGGGTGGTGGGGTGGGAACACAAGGATTTCTGAGCATCCCTTAGGGGATGGCTCTGCCAAGGGATTCACTTCCCAGCGGGAGCAAACCCTTGGAAGAAGAGATGTTGCCAAAATGTTTGTGTCCTGCTCCTTATGCTGGTGTTACACAGTAGAAAAAACTCTTCATTTTTCCTCATTTGTAGATAATCTTTTCTTATTAAAAATGTTATTCTTTGTTATTTAGATAAGTAATGTAGAATCCCAGGATGGTTTGGGGGGGAAGGGACCTTAAAGTTCACCTCATTCCACCCCCTGCCCTGGGCAGGGACACCTTCCACTATCCCAGGGTGCTCCAACCTGGCCTTGGACACTTCCAGGGATCCAGGGGCAGCCACAGCTTCTCTGGGCAACCTGTGCCAGGGCCTGCCCACCCTCCCAGCCAGCAATTCCTTCCCAATATCCCATCTCTCCCTGCCCTCTGGCAGTTTAAAGCCATCACCCCTTGTCCTGTCACTCTGCCCATATAAAAAGTCCCTCTCCCTCCTTTTTCTAAGCTGTTTATTTGATTTCTGGTTTTGCTTTCTCTCCATTAGCAACTGCTGTCCAAGTGTCCCTGGAAAGAGTATAAATCAGACTCTGGGAAGCCTTACTATTACAATTCCCAAACCAAGGAATCCCGCTGGGCCAAACCCAAAGAGCTGGAGGATCTTGAAGGTAAAGTTACCAAAACAAAAAGGTGTCCAAGCACAGCAGTCACACCTCAGTTAGTGACTTCTTTACTGAAATAAACTGTTTGGAGTAGAGTTAATGCATCTGAGATGTCTGTGGAGCAATTAAATATATAAATATCTAAGTGTGTGTATATATATATATTTACTTATATATTTAGATATTTATATGTATAAAAGTAAAGCTCTATTCAGGTATCATTTTGGCTTTAATTTTGATCAGTAATTATTTTGAGAAACTCAAGTGGCAAAAATATTGGCATTTTTTATAGATATAAGTAATATATAGATATATTAATATATAGGTAATATATTGTCTTTCTGTGTATATATATATATATATATATATATATATATATATATATATATATATAAAAGCAGTGACTCGTTTTATACAAATGTCATATGATGCTCCCATTTTTCACTGTTACCATGGTTTTATTTGGGATTGTAAGGGGATAAAATAACTGCAGAATCAACTGAGAAAGAAATAAGTGTTTAAAAAAGAATTAACAGCAGTGATTTAGGTAGTTCCTTCTGGGTTTTTTTATTCTGTTTGATAGTCCTGATTTTCTGTTCATTGAAGTCCTCTTTTAAAGTTGAAATAGTGATTTTAAACCAGGAAGTTTTTCTTCATATGCCCTAATTTTTCTTGAATGGGTTTGGTTGAGTCTGAATGGATTTCACTCTTTAAAGGGCACAAATAATCAAATTGTCGATAATAACAAAAATAATTTAAAGCTGTGCTTTATTAAATCAGTAATTATCTTGCAGGACATTTTTATCATGTGCATATAAATTATTTCCAAGCTATATTTTAATTGCTTTTCCCTTTTCTCCTCCAGCAATGATTAAAGCTGAAGAAAACAGGTATGTTTTTAATATTGTGCTACAGAGGTTTTTGCCTGTTGCTTGCAGATGGACTCTCCTCTTGAAATCTTCAAACATTCTCCTTGCAACTTTTCACTCCAATACATATAAATAATATATAAATTTTGTACATAAATAATGCATGTTTAACCTCAAATAATGCATTCTGGGTGTCTATGACTGAGATTGAACCCTTCTCTGAGAACCTTGAGCCCTTTTTTCAGAGCCTTAAAAACCTTTTCTGAGAGCCTTGAACCCTTTTCTGAGGGCTTTTAACCCGTTCCTGAGAGCCTTGAACCCTTTTCTTAGGGCTCTGAACCCTTTTCTGAGAACCTTTAACCCTTTTTTCAGAGCCTTTAAAACCCTTTTCTGAGAGCCTTTAACCCTTTACTGAGGGCCTTTGAAACCCTTTTCTGAGAGCCTTTAAAACCCTTTTCTGAGAGCCTTTAACCCTTTTCTGAGAGCTTTAAAACCCATTTTCTGAGAACCTTTAAAACCCTTTTCTGAGAGCCTTTGAAACCCTTTTCTGAGAGCCTTTAACCCTTTTCTGAGGGCCTTAAAAACTCTTCTCTGAGGGCTTTTAACCCATTCCCGAGAGCCTTTAAAATCCTTTTCTGAGGGCCTTGAACCCTTTTCCAAGAGCCTTTATCTCACCCTAACCCTCTGATTTCCCCCTTGCTTCCCTTCCTTAGCTTAGTCAAACCGTGAGTGTCCCCTGCCTGGGAGGGTGGTGGGTGACAGTGGCTGTTTTTGTCCCCCCAGCACCAAGCCCGAGGACTCCGGTGCAGCCACGGCAGCTCCGGCCGCAGCCACGGACACGGCGAGCGGAGCCAGCGCCGCCCCCGCGGCCGAAACCGCCCCCACGGCCACGGCCGCTCCTGCTGGAGCCGCTCCAGAGGGGGAAACTGCTCCAGCTGCTGCCGGGGGGGATGCTGAGGGGGCTGGGACAGCCCAGGCCGAGGAGCAGGGACAGGGAAGCGCTGCCCCCGGAGCGCAGGAGGGGACGGGGGACACGGCCACCGGCACCGAGGACGCGGCCAAGCAGGAGGCAGCGGGAGAGTGAGTGGGGCTGTGGCACGGGGGGCATGGTGGGAGCTCCAGGGAAGTGGGTTCAGCTTGGATAGGAGGGAGAAATCCTTCCCTGGGAGGGTGGGCAGGCCCTGGCACAGGTTGCCCAGAGAAGCTGTGGCTGCCCCTGGATCCCTGGAAGTGTCCAAAGCCAGGGCTTGGAGCAGCCTGGGCTGGTGGAAGGTGTTGGAACAAGATGACCTTTAAGTTCCCTTCCAGCCCAAACCACTGCATGATGAGTTATGAAGCCACATGGCTTTGCTGCAGTTTTGTTTCTCCTGGGAACTGGTTTACCCTCAGCTGAGGATCACCAGGCTCCTTAACATGAGCGTGAGTCACTGGCACTGCAGAATAATAATGTGTAAGAAAGAGGGGAAGTTATTTACTAAATGTATTTTTAGAAAATTAACTCCCCTGGCCTGCCCTCTCCCAGAGTTCTTAAACCCTCCAGAGCACCAGTGACATGAACATTCCATAAACTTTTCAACAGCTGTAAGAATTTCCCATTGCATACTTACCCATTGTGATCCTTTTCCATAGATCTGTGCACCTGGTTATCAGTAGAAGAAAATTTAACACTAAATAGATGTTCACCTGTTCCAGCAGAAGTGGAACCCTTTCTTAATTAATAATGAAGAATTGATTATGTGGGGAATTACGGCTTATGATTTTTATCATTCAGCCAAAAAAAAAGAAATGCTGAGGGGGGCTGGCAGACAGCAGGAGATAATTAAGGACAAGGAGGCACATTTTTAGGCGTATGTAATATATGAATATTCCTGCTGAATTCCAGCATTATATTTTTATTAATCATTTCTAGATACCTTGAGCAGGCAGCCAGTTGCATCAGGGAAATATTGTTCTGGAATAATTTGCTTTTTTTTGATGAGCTCTATGTGGTGCCTGTGGGGAAAAGCCACGTCCAAACTGGATTTATCAGTGTTTGACTTTGAGCTGCTGTTTTAAAAAGCTCATTCTATGTGGTAATAGTCATTTAGGACTCTTCAGTGGTTCTGACTTAATAAATAAGACTTAAATAATAAAATGACCTTTTGTTTCTAGTGCTGCTGCAAAGAAGGAGGACGACGATGCCCAACCAGTGAAAAAAACCTACACCTGGAACACAAAGGAAGAGGCAAAACAAGCATTTAAAGAGCTGTTAAAAGAAAAGGTATTTGGGGCAATTCTTAATGTTTTATTGAGCTACAAACCCTGCCTTTGCCAGGTTTTTTTTTTTTTTTTTTTTTTTTTACCTAAGGCCTGTGTTTTAAGGAATTTCGTAGTGGAATGTTGATTCCAAAGGTGATTAATCCATGATTTCTTGCCTTCCCAGCGAGTCCCATCCAATGCTTCTTGGGAGCAAGCGATGAAAATGATCATCAATGATCCCAGATACAGGTACTGCACAGCTCTTTCCTCCTCCAGTCCTCCACAGACACCGCTTCAGGCAGTTGGGCAATCAAAAGTTAGGGATATTGGTGCCTTTGTTCCTTCCCTACATAAAGAAATGCAAGTCCTGGGCTGAACTTTTCCTTTGGGAAAGATGTGGTAGTTGGTGTTTTCTGCTCTTTATATCCATTTTTTTGGAATAAAAGTACACGTTCGTAGTGATGGAGCTGAAGACTCTCTAGGTTACTTTGGAAATGAGTGGCTGCTACAAACACTGGCAGATAAGTGGATGATAACTGTGATTAGAATATTATTTTAATGTGAAATGTGTAAATGCAGCACAATAGTAACTCGTGTTTTATTGTTAACTGCTTTTATTAATTAGAAAGTGCTGCTTTTTTAAATGATCTTCCACTAATCCTGAGGGAGTGATGGCGGTGACTGGACACTTAGATTATGTTTAATTTTGTCTCAGAATCTGGACTGTTCAGATCTGCTGCCTTTTGGTTCTTTGGGTTTGTTTTTCTTTATCTAAATGACATGATTCTTCTCTTTCTCTCTGCCCTGAAGTGCTCTGGCAAAACTAAGTGAGAAGAAGCAAGCTTTTAATGCCTACAAAGTTCAGACAGAAAAGGAGGAGAAAGAAGAGGCGAGATCCAAGTACAAAGAAGCCAAAGAATCCTTCCAGCGCTTCCTGGAGAACCACGAGAAGATGACATCCACCACCAGATACAAGTAAGGGGTGCTGGCACAGGATGAGAGTCCTGCTGGCAGGAGAGGATGGGCCGTGGCATCAGCTTTAATTTTAAACTCTTCCCCTGGGTTTATAAAAGAGAAAAAAGGTGTCACAGAAGTAAAATCCCAAGGGGGAAAATCAGGGACACGTCCCACAAAAGTGTTCCTGCTCCTAACAGTTTATTGACGTAGTGGGGTGATGGGATGGAGTAATAAATGTTGGGGTGCTTTGCCTTGGCACAGAAAAGCTGAGCAGATGTTTGGGGAGATGGAAGTGTGGAACGCCATCTCCGAGCGGGATCGGCTGGAGATCTATGAGGATGTCTTGTTCTTCCTGTCCAAGAAGGAGAAGGTAACTTCCCTCTTCATTTATCTCATTATCCCTACATTAATTTAAACCTCTCAAGTTCACCAGATGAACCCCTGGTTTGAGGGTTGTGGCAGACAAAGAGCAGTTTCTCTGAAAGGTCTTTGTTTTTATGGAGAGCAATTCCTGCTGGCTTTGCCAGATGTTTAATATTTGGGATGATTTGAATAAATTAAAAGGTTATTTATATTTCTGAGCTGCTCTGAATCACTGAAACAATAATAACATGTAAAAATTGTGTCGGTCCAAGGCAGGGTTGGATGAGGCCAGTGGAAGGTGTCCCTGCCCATGGGACTGGATGGGCTTTAAGGTCCCTCCCAACCCAAACCACTCTGGAATTCTCTGTAAATAAAAGCTGAATTCTGAGTTTTCCTGGAGCAAACTTGGTGCCGTGTCTTTCTGTCCACACAGCCTCGGATTTCCCACCCTGATCCCCGTGTTTTCTCCTCAGGAACAAGCCAAGCAGTTACGGAAGAGGAACTGGGAGGCCCTGAAGAACATCCTGGATAACATGGCCAACGTCACCTACTGCACCACGTGGTCGGAGGCCCAGCAGTACCTGATGGACAACCCCACGTTTGCAGAGGATGAGGAGCTGCAGAGTGAGTCCACAGGCTGGGGGATCCCTCTGGGAGAGGGAACGGGAAGAAATCACCCGATCGTTGCCCTTATCGTTCCGTTCTCTTGCCAGACATGGACAAGGAGGATGCCCTGATCTGCTTTGAGGAACATATCCGGGCCTTGGAAAAAGAGGAGGAAGAGGAAAAGCAGAAAAGTTTGCTGAGAGAAAGGAGGAGGCAGAGGAAAAACAGGGAATCCTTCCAGGTGAGTGGGATTTATTTAGGATTCTGTCCTAAATATGTCATATGTGTTTTTTTTTTTTTTTTTTATTTCTAAGGGTGTTTTTGTGCCTCAGGTGTGAGGTTTGGTAGCATTTTCGCTGCTCTGGAATGCACCTGCTTGCCAGGAAGCTCCAAGAGTTGGGGAAAATAAGAGGAAATAGATGAGGATGGAGAAGGAAGTGCAACTGGAATGTAGTAAAATAGTGGAGTAGGGTGGGAAGAAACAATAAAAAATGTGATTTTTCAGCTGTATTTGAGCAAAAGTGGAATTCCAGTTATCAGGGTGAGCCATCCCAGCTGATAAACAAGGAAATGTGTGGGGAGTGGTGGGAAATTGCCTGTTTTGGTTGTTTTTGGCAGCTGTTCCTGGACGAGCTGCACGAGCACGGGCAGTTGCATTCCATGTCCTCCTGGATGGAGCTGTACCCAGCCATCAGCTCTGACATCAGATTCACCAGCATGCTGGGCCAGCCTGGTAAGAGGAGGGGTTTGGGGCTTTTGAAATAACTAAAAAACAGCTTAATTTTTTTTTTTTTTTTTAAATCTTAAAATCTAAAAAAAAAAAAAGCCTTGGAAAAAAAATGGAGGAAAAATAATAAAAACACACCTGAAAAGATATTAAATTGAAAGCAAAATGAAAAAAATAAACAAGCCTAGATGTCTTCAAAATATACTTAAAACATTTTAGAAAATGATACGTAAATGACTGAAGAGATTTAAATAAATATCTGAGAAACTGAAAAAAATCTAAAGAAAACAAAAAAAAAGTAAGAAAATCTAAACGTTTCTTTAGAAACCTAATATCTAAAAAATATAAAGAATCCAAAATAAATCAAAACCATCTGAGAACTCCCTGAGGAGTGCAGATGTTTGCTCAGAGCCGCCCTGTGACTTCTCCAACCCTCCCCTCAGGATCCACAGCCCTGGACCTGTTCAAGTTCTACGTGGAGGACCTCAAAGCTCGTTACCACGATGAGAAGAAGATCATCAAAGACATCCTAAAGGTGAGGAAATCCCAGCATTTGGTTCCTTTGGATACCAAATCCACCCTTGGAGGGAACCTTTTGGTGCTGGGAGCTGGGATTTCACAGCAGCACTGATGGAATTCCTGACTCCCTTTCCTTCCAGGATAAAGGATTTGTGGTGGAGGTGAACACTTCCTTTGAGGATTTTGTCACAGTCATCAGCTCCACCAAAAGAGCCACCACTTTGGATGCAGGAAATATCAAACTGGCTTTCAACAGCGTAAGTGTTCATGGATACCAGAATTATAATGGAGATTGATATGGATCAGTAATTATACTGTATATTTTAATATGCATTATTAATAGTTTGAAGACTTAGGGTATGAAATCTCCTGCTAAACAAGAATTAACGTTTATTTTAGGGTAAGAAATCTCATGTCCAAACAAGAATTAACATTTATTTTCACTGTATTGCTCTGCCTGCTTCTATGAGAATTTGGGGAGATGCTTATACTGAGTTATGGCAGAGGTGGATCTTAATTCAAACCATCACCATTCCAACTTAGGGAGTTCTGGGGTAGGAACTGAGTCAGGTTCCCTCATTTACACATAACTGATCTCACGATCTGTGTGTGTGTTCCTGGAGTTCTGCCTTGCAGGATTAATTAACTCTGGTTTAGATCCTCGGGAACGGCCGTTCCCTGCTTTGGAATTACATCACTGATTAATAATTATTATAAATCACAATGACAGACAACTCCAGAGGTGGACTGGCTTTCCATAAATCCCATTAAAGTGGGTTATTCCCCTTGCCCTCTGATGTCTCTGAACATTCCTTGCTGCAGCTGCTGGAGAAGGCCGAGGCGCGGGAGCGGGAGCGGGAGAAGGAGGAGGCTCGGAAGATGAAGCGGAAGGAGTCGGCCTTCAAGAGCATGTTGAAACAGGCAGCCCCCCCCATCGAGCTGGACGCTGTCTGGGAGGATGTGAGTGTGGGCCCTTCCTCGGGAAACAATTCCCACAGGGATTCAGCAGCCCCCTAACCCTCACCCTACACCCCACGTGGAGCTGGATGTGGTGGGAGAGGATGTGAGTGTGGGCCCTTCCTCAGGGGAGAATTCCCACGTGGATTCAGCAGCCTCCTAATGCCAACCCCTAACCCTAACCCCTAATCTTAATCCTAATCCTAAACCCTAACGGCCCCTTCCTTAGGAAACAATTCCCAAATGGATTCAACTGCCTGCTACTGCTAGTGCTGACCCCTAACCCTAACCCTGACCCTAACCCTGCATCCACATGGAGCTGAGCACTGTCTGGGAGGATGTGAGTGTGGGCCCTTCCTCAGGAAACAATTCCCAAAGGGATTCAACAGCCTGCTGCCTCCTAACCCCTAACCCAAACCCTAGCCCTAATGGTCCCTTCCTCAGGAAAGAATTCCCAGATGGGTTCCCCATCCTGCTGCTTGCCCGTGCTGACCCCTAAACCCAACCCTAACTTAATGCCTGGGCCTAAACCCTGGACCCCAAACCCTTTACTGGTGTTACTGGTTTTATTTCTGAATGGCTCTGTTTGCTACTGGAATTCCTTTGCTGTTCCTCTGGCAGATCAGGGACAGGTTTGTGAAGGAACCAGCATTTGAAGACATCACCCTGGAGTCTGAAAGGAAAAGGATATTTAAAGACTTCTTATATGTGCTAGAGGTAATTACTAATTTATTTTTTTCCTTCATTAGAGAATATATATTTTAAAAAAAATCCTATTCCTCCTAAATTGGGTGGGAAGGGGAAGGATTTAACAGGACTTTGCTGATTTGTGTTACATTGGGGGTTACCTAAAAGTGATGGATATAAAACCTCATCTTCAAGTGAGCAACTGGAGAAACTTCCTGCATTTTTTTGAGAAATAATTGTTCTCTTAATCTGCTGCTTCAAGAATTTCTGGAGTTGACACGAACATTTCCTGGTTTGTTTTAGGAAATTTGTGGGTCGGATTTTGTAGGAAACAAGATGAAATTGAAACTAAATTTGTCCAGGGTTTTATTCCCTACAGATCAGGGACTCCCAGAACACACTGAGCTCTTCAGTCATGATTTCTTTTTTTTTTAACTGTGGCCAGTTTTCTTGCTGATGAGCAAAAGAAATGATGCAGTTTAGTTCCATCCTTAATTTTAGGCCGGGCTGGAGCAGTACTTGAGCTGCTGTTCAGTAAAGTGACAATATGAGATTTCATTTTTCAGCCCTTGCTTTTTGGGGGTTTTTATTTCATTTGCTGCAGTTTGTCAGAAATTGGGCTTTAAATGCTTTGATTTGACAACTGGAAATTTGGCAAGGCTAGGTGTGGGTTTTAGGCCAGCTTTAAACTGGATCCAGGTACCAAACCCTGTGCATCCATGTGTGTTTCCTTGCTCCTGGGGGCTTTTGTTGCTGCTCTAATTTTGCATTAGTGCCCATTTTTGGGGGTTTTGGCAGTAAATGTGTGACTGGGGGGGGTTTAACCTGTCCCAGCTTTGTGGAGGGTCAGGAACATGGTTCCAGTTTCTTGGGGTTGTCCTGAGGTGGCTGATGGGGTGGGGGTGTCTGAAGGGGCTCCTGGGGACTGTTCTCCAGGAACTGCAGAGACAGGACACAGGGAATGGCTTCCAACTGAAAAAGGGGGAATTTAGGGTGGATATTGGGAAGGAATTGCTGGCTGGGAGGGTGGGCAGGCCCTGGCACAGGTTGGGCAGAGAAGCTGTGGCTGCCCCTGGATCCCTGGGAGTGTCCAAGGCCAGGCTGGAGCACCCTGGGCTGGTGGGAGGTGTTGGGGCTGGAACTGGGTGACCTTTAGGGTCCTCTCCAGCCCAGCCCATGTGGAATGCCGTGCTGACCCCCTCTCCTGTCCCACAGCACGAGTGCCAGCACCACCACTCGAAGACCAAGAAACACTCGAAGAAGTCCAAAAAGCATCACCGGAAACGCTCCCGTTCCCGCTCCGTAAGTGTTCCCTGGGGCCCTGCTCCCCCCCTTGCCACGGCTCCCCGTGGCTCCTGGCCCTGGTGCCAGTTGTAATCATTCCCCTGGGTTTGCATCCCAAGGGCTCCGAGTCCGAGGACGACGACAGCCACTCCAAGAAGAAGCGGCAGCGCTCGGAATCCCGCTCGGTGTCCGAGCGCTCGTCCAGCGCGGAATCCGGTACGGGGTGGGGTTGGATGGCTTTGGAATCCTCATTCCCACTTGGGTTGCCTTGTCTTCATCACCTCACTGACGTGTTTTTGTTGTCCCTGCCTGCAGAGAGGAGTTACAAGAAGTCCAAAAAGCACAAGAAGAAGAGCAAGAAGAGGAGACACAAGTCTGTAAGTGCCGTTCAGTTCAGATCCTGTGGCCAGCCTGGCGCTGCTTTCACTCATCCAGGCGGGATTTTTCCAGGGAAAAAAACTTGCCTGGGGAGTGGGGTCAGGCTGGAGGAGGGTGTTGCCAACGTAATACCTCTGTTATATTAATCCTGATATTAAACCACTGCTAAATTTGTGAGATGTGAAGGGCTCTACTAAAAACCTGGGATTTGCTGTTTATCCTGGCAAATCCTGGTGTTCTCTGTTGCTGTGGGAAGAATCCCAGCCGGTCCTGGTGCCTGCCTGAGTGTCAGGGATGTGTCAGAAGCTCTGAATCAAGAGCTTTTAACCTGTATCACCTGAGGTCAGAGAGTGGGGTTTGTAACAGTTAAAGCCAGAAAAAAAACGTTTTCCAGAGCTCACCACTTCCAGAGATTTCATGGAATGACTGGCAGCTGTGCACAGAGATGAGCTGGGGGACATCCAGCACGTCCCACCTTTACACTGGAAATGGTGGAAGTTGTGCCTTGAACAAACCTTCCTCCTCCTCTTTCCAAGCCACTCCAGTGATGTTTTTGGGTTATTTATTTCTGTGTTTAATTAGGAACTGCTTTGAGCAGTTTCCAGGGGCTGGATTGAACAGATCCAGTGAAGAGGGGAAATTCAGGTTGGATATTGCGAGGGAGGGTGGGCAGAGAAGCTGTGGCTGCCCCTGGATCCCTGGAAGTGTCCAAGGCCAGGTTGGAGCACCCTGGGCCAGTGGAAGGTGTCCCTGCCCATGGCAGGGGTGGAAGGAGATGATTCTTGATGTCCCTTCCAACCACACCATTCTGGGATCCCATAAAATAAGGTCAGACTTTTCTGCCTGTGCTTATTCTGTAAATGAATATTGAGCATCTTCAACACTGATACTCAGCATGTCCCCGTTTGCTTCCCCAGGATTCCCCGGAGTCGGATCTGGAGCGAGAGAAGGACAAGAAGGAGAGGGACAGTGAGAAGGAGCGGGGCAGGCAGAGATCCGAGTCCAAACACAAATCCCCCACCAAGAAACGGCCTGGCAAAGATTCTGTAAGCTCTGCTCCCCCGAGCTCAGGGTGGGATGGGGGGCAGCTCCAGGAATGGGCTCCAAGGGCACAGCTGGAACGGTGGGCACGGGTGGGACTCGGTGATCTCAGAGGTGTTTCCCACTCCCAAATAATTGGGGTTTGGGGGATCCTGAGCGTGACACGGAGCAGCCACCTGCGCCCTGCACTGCCCAGCTGTGTCTGTGCCCTTTCTGAGGGTCCCACTGAGCACAGATGGCACCTCCAGAGGGTCCAACCCCCTGGAATGCCCATCCTGACCACGTTCCCGGTTGTCTCCGCAGGGGAACTGGGACACGTCGGGCAGCGAGCTGAGCGAGGGGGAGCTGGAGAAGCAGAGGAGGACTCTGTTGGAACAACTGGATGAAGATCAATGACAAATTATTTATACCAAAAATGTTTACATGGCATCCCAACCCAGCAGAGCGTGGAGGGGCCTCGGCCCCCCTTCCACGGCTGGAATGACAGCGGCTTTTAGTTTGTCCCACATCACCCCAGTCAGTCCCTATCAGCAGCAAATGGAGAAAAGGTGTGGAATTCCCAGGGCACAGCTGGAGCTCTGGGGTGGGATGGGTGTGTCCCCAAGCCCAGGGGAGCCTGTGCACCTTCCTGGCCAGGGAATAACACTGGGCTGCTGGGCAGAGCCATTTCAGCTTTGGAAAAGGGTCTTAATTTACTTTCTTATGGTTTAATTCACCGGAGGGATCTGGTTGGGTGCCTTTTTCTGGGAAGGCAACGGGAGCAACGAATCCACGTCCTGATCTGTCCTGCAAACCCCCAGATTTTGGGATTGTTCTCGGTCGCAGTGAGGAGTTTGTCCAAGACTTGACTGATTGTGGTCCGAGCACCGGCTCGGAGCGAGCTTTCCCAGTAAATAACCCTGGGAATGTGAACGGGAATGTGGCTGCAGCGCCAGCAGAGGGGGTGTGTGTGTGACACAACCCCCTCATTCCCAAATCCCGCCCCGGCCCAGCCGTGGGCGTTCCCTCAGCGCTTATCTCCACCTCTATCTCCTCCTGTACCTCCACCTTCGGAAAATTTAGGAATAAAACAAATTTGACCCCGATTTCCATGTGTTGCCTTAAGAACCTGCTGCAGAATGTCCCTGCCCGGCCCAGAGCAGGGAGGAGGAGGCAATTCCAGCCCTGTTTTCCAACCCCCTGCGTGTCCAGGAAGGTGCCCCCACCCTGCTCGGGGAGAAAATTGGGAACCTGCTCTCCTTGGAATATTTTTGTACATTTTTATTGATGATTAAACCTTGTCTTGTACCCTGCCTGGTGGGTCTCTGTCCTGGCCGTGCTCCCCCCAGCCCGGGGCAATCCTGGGTTGGATTCACATCCTCATCCCTCCCAAATCCCAGCAGGGGAACAGGAGCAGCTCAGCTCCTTCCCAGCCTGGATTTCCCTGCTTTCCATAACTTGCTGGTGGATTCATCCAGGGAATTCTCTTGCTGGGGTGGTCTCGTGGCTCAGACTCCTTGGGAACACCCTGAGAGTGGAATCGGCATTTCAGGTGGAAAAGGCAGGAACCTGAAACCATTTTACTTGGGATGATTTGGGATTTTTCCTGGGATGATTTGGGGTTTTGTGTGGGGTCAACTGGGATTTTTTCCCTGAGATGATTCAGGGTTTTTCCTGGGATGATTTAGGATTTTTCCTAGGATGATTTGAGAATTTTTTATGGGGTGATTTGGGATTTTTTTTTCCTGGGATGGTTAGGGTGTTCTCCTGGGATGATTTGGGATTTTTCCTAGGATGATTTGAGAATTTTTCCTGGGATGATTTGGGTTTTTTCCCAGGGCGCTTTGGGATTTTTCCTGGGATGATTTGGGATTTTTTTCCCAGGGATGATTTAGGATTTTTCCTGAGATGATTCAGGACTCTTCCTGGGATGATTCAGGTTTTTTCTTGGGATAATTTGGGATTTTTCCTGGGGTGATTTGGGATGTTCAGAGCAGAGCCCATCCCAATCCCGGTGTTCCCCTTGGACTGAGCTCATCACTCCCTCTCTGCCCATCCCAGAGTTTGATCCAGCAGAGCTTGGAATTCCTGGTCTCCGTGGGGTGTTTGATGTGGGAATCCAGGCTGGCAGCCCTGGCAGGGCGATATTCCAGGTTTTTCCTGCAGCAAGGGATTGTCCCAAGGAAGGAAGGAGGGCTGGTGGCAGCTGCTCCAGGGGCGGACAATCAGCCAGGCCTTGGTGTGTTTTGCTCCCCTTCCATTCCCTTCCCTGGATTTCCATCCCCCGGGAATGCTGGGCCAGCAGGGAGCAGAGTCCACCTGGGAACAGCCCAGCCCAGGCTCTGGAAAAGGCAGGGACAGCTGGGATGTGGCCCAGAGCTGGGAATGGGTTTGGGAATCCTGAGGGTTTGCAGACAGGGGGGAGGTTCTGCCCAACACTCTCATTCCCTTCCATCCACGGAATTTTAGGGCAGTGATTTCCCAGGAAATCAAACCCTTGGAAGCTTTGCCTTTCTTTTCCCTTTAAAAATAAAACCCTTCAATGGGAAGGATCCTCAGGCTGGGCTTGTTTTCCAGGGCTTAATTCCAAGGAAAAAAAACCCTAGTTTTTTTCCTAGGATGATTTGGGATTTTTTCCTGGGATGATCTGGGATTTATTCCTGGCATCATCTGGGATTTTTCCTGCAATGTTTTGAGGGTTTTTTTTCTTGGCATTATCTGGAATTTTTTTCCTGAAGTGTTTTACAATTTTTCCCAGGATGACTTGGGATTTTCCCTGCGGTGATTTGGGACTTTTTCCTGGGCTCATCTGGGATTTTTTTCCCGGGATGGTTTGTAATTTTTCCTGGAATTATTTGGGTTTTTTTCCTGGGATGATTTGGGTTTTTTTCCCAGGATTGTTTGGGATGTTTCCTGGGGTGATTTAGGATTTTTTCTGGGGTGACTTGGCATTTTTTCCCTGGAACTATTTGACATTTTTTCCTGGAATTATTTGGGGTTTTTTCCTGGGATGATCTGGGATTTATTCCTGGCACCATCTCAGATATTTCCTGCAATGTTTTGAGATTTTTTTCTTGGCATCATCTGGGATTTTTTTCCTGGAGTGATTTGCAATTTTTTCTGGGATAATTTGAGATTTTTTTTCCTGCAATTATTTCACATTTTTTCCGGGAATTATTTGGGGATTTTTTTTTGGATGATTTGGGTGTTTCCCTGGGGTGATTTGGGACTTTTTCCTGGGATCATCTGGGATTTTTTTCCCGGGATGGTTTACAAATTTTCCTGGGATAATTTGGGATTTTCCTTGGGATGATACGGGCTTTTGTCCTGGGATGCTTTGGGATTTTTCCTGGGATCATCTGGGATTTTTCCCAGGATAATTTGGGATGTTTCCTTTAATTATTTTGCAATTTTTCTGGGATCATCCTGGGATGATTTTTTATTTTTCCTGAGATTATTTGGGATTTTTTTTTTTCCTGTGATGATTTGGAATTTTTCCTGGGATGATTACAGCAGTTTCCTGGAATGATTTGGGATTTTTTCCTGGGATCATCTGTGATTTTTCCCAGGATAATTTGGGATGTTTCCTTTAAATATTTAGAGGTTTTTTCTGGGATGATTTGGCATTTTTTCCTGGAATTATTTGACATTTTTTCCTGGATTATTTGGGATTTTTCCTAGGGTGATTTGGGATTTATTCCTGACATCATCTGGGATTTTTCCTGCAATGTTTTGAGATTTTTTTCTTGGTGTCATCTGGGATTTTTTTCCTGGAGTGGTTTGCAATTTTTCCTGGGATGATTTGGGATTTTTTCCTGGAATTATATGGGTGATTTTCTTGGGATGATTTGGGATTTCCCCTGGGATCATTTGGGATTTCTTTCCTGGGATGGTTTGCAATTTTTCATGGAATGATTTGGGATTTTTTTTTCCAGGACTGATTTGTATTTTTTTCCTGGGATGATTTGCAATTTTTCCTTGAAAGATTTGGGATGTTTCCTGGGGTGATTTGGGGATTTTGCTGGGATGATTTAGGATTTACTCCTGGCATCATCAGGGATTTTTCCTGGAATATTTTGAGATTTTTTTTCTTGGCATCATCTGGGATTTTTTTCCTTGTGTGATTTCGGATTTTTCCTGCGATGATTTGGAATTTTTTTCCAAGGATGATTTGGGGTTTTTCCTTGCAATGATTTGGGATTTTCCCGGGGGTGATTTGGGACTTTTTCCTGGGATCATCTGGGATTTTTTTTTCCTGGGATGTTTTGGGAATTTTTCTTGGAATGATTTGGGATTTTTCTTGGGATGATATGGGGATTTTTCCTGGGGTGATTTGGAATTTTTCCCAGGATAATTTGGGATGTTTCCTTTAATTATTTGGCATTTTTTTTCTGGAATCCTCCTGGGATGATTTGGGATTTTTCCTGAGATTATTTGAGATTTTTTTTCCCATGATACTTTGGAATTTTTCTTGGGACGATTAAGGTTTTTTCCTGGGGTGATTTGGGATTTTTTTCCTGGAATGATTTGGCATTTTTTCCTGGAATTATTTGGGTTTTTTTCCTGGGATAGTTTGGTATTTTCCCTGGGGTGATTTGGGACTTTTTCCTGGGATCACCTGGGATTTTTTTCCTGGAATGGTTTGCGATTTTTCCTGGGCTGATTTAGGATTTTTTTTCCCTGGGCTGATTTGGGATGTTTCCTTTAATTATTTTGCAATTTTTCTGGGATCATCCTGGGATGATTTGGGATTTTTCCTGAGATTATTTGGGATTTTTTTTCCCCATGATGATTTGGAATTTTTCCTGGGACAATTAGGTTTTTTTCCTGGGGTGATTTGGGATTTTTTTCTTGGGATCATCTGTGATTTTTCCCAAGATAATTTGGGATGTTTCATTTAATTATTTGGGGTTTTTTTCTGGGATGATTTGGGATTTTTTACCAGGAATTATTTGACATTTTTTTCCTGGAATTATTTGGGATTTTTCCTAGGATGATTTGGGATTTATTCCTGGCATCATCTGGGATTT